TTAGATATATATAAATGATCAGGAACTTGGTATACATGTATCTTGGTACTGTAAGACGGTTGGTATTTCAGATGGGCAAACGCCATTAATCAAAAACAAATAAATTGCCGTAACTAAGCTCCGCAATAAGATACAAGACTGTTATTTGATACACAGGATCACATTCGGAAAGGGTATATGCAGTTTAAATTTTTTTTAAAGTGGGCGTGGGCCCACCCCCTAATAGGTTTAATGTGCATATCTTCTAAGCCGGTAAAGATATAATAACAAAATTCATTGGAAGCAAATGTTTTTAGCACCTCTACCTACAGTGTGAAAATGGGTGAAATTGGGTGACAACTCCGCCTACTCCCCATATAACGGTACTGTTAAAAAATACTAAAAGCGAGATAAACCAAGCACTAAACACGCCAGAGACATTAAATTTTATCTCTTGGATGGTATGAGATGACTTTATAGGAACCGCTTTCAATATTAGACACCGCCCACTTTTAGGTGAAAACCCATATCTTGGGATCTGCTTAACCGAGTTTAAAATTTTTCTCATACTTCTATGTTATAGTGCGAAAATTGGCGAAATCGGATTACAACCGCGCCTATTTCCCATATAACATCATTTTAAATTTCATCTGATTTTTTCACTTTCCAGTATGCAAATCAAGCAACAATGATTATATCGGGGTAAAACTTTGCGTGAATAATACGTTTAAAGTATGCCACCTTGTGACCAAAAATTGTCTAAATTGAACCAAAACTGTTCAAGACCCTAGGTACTGAATATGTGGACCCAGTGCCTATAGTTGACTTTTACCGAAAATATCGGTCAACATAGAACAAGGCGGCAAGATCCACAAAGAAATCTCAAACGAGTATACCATTTGACTTTGCGAGAGTATAAAATGTTCGGTTACATCCGAACTTAGCCCTTCCTTACTTGTTTGTGTAAGCTTTGTTCATATAATGTAAGTATTGTATAGTTTCAAGACATACCTTAACTTTTCTTAAAAGAAGTTCATGAATGAGATTTTCTTTGTTTAAAATTATATTTATTCATAATTCATAATTATTTAATGTGTAAATAATCAAGCATTTGATACCTTACCTTAGTCTTTAAGCCAGAAAGTGTAAATTTATAGATAGAAAGTATAATTTATGAAAACTTAAACTAAGCTATCGAATTTCAGAGGTAGTAGGGGCGGCAAGAATTGAAAAGTCTACAGGCGGCAAATCTGTAAATCCGCCACTGCATGTAAATATAATAATTATAAGCTAAGCTTCACATATGATTCTAATGGTGCCTCAAGTAGATTACTGTAATTTCTTTATATCTTCCTTTTAATTTTTTTGTTGCTTTCTTCCTCCAATAAAATAAAGGCTACAAAAAATGCGGAACTCATAGTAAACTTTAATAGAATTGCTTTCAAATCTATTCATTTTCACGTTTTTTCACCTTAGCAGAGAATGTTGATGAGTAGAGAAGGAGCAAATGTTAGCAGTACTAAAATGTTAATTACGATGGAGGAACATCGAAAACGCGCCAGTTGGAAAATAAAATTTCACCACAACTATCAGGGTACGAAACCAGAGAATGTTGATGAGTAGAGAAGGAGCAAATGTTAGCAGTACTAAAATCAGAGAATGTTGATGAGTAGAGAAGGAGCAAATGTTAAATGAAATCTTTTTGAGTACTAATTTGTAGTTCCAGATGAGGGAACATCGAAAAATATAACTTCGAAAAAGAAAAATACACCACACAATATGCGAAATGCTATAAATAGACACAACGAATATTCCTATATGAAAAATCGTTGCGCATACCTATTTAGATTTATGTTTTCAATTTCTATGATATGACAAATTTATAATTATGAAAAGCCTTTTGAATTAAAAAGGAGGATTACTGGCAAAAACCCCAGAATTCATAATAAAATAACCTTTGATATGCAATTTTTCCAACTTTTGTATATGCGTTGCGTAAGCAATATACTTATCAAGCAAAAGATAACAATAAAACAGTGGCTAAGCGGCCGCGTTTCCATTTCTATAGTGGCTTAGGTCGTAGGCGTGAAGGAGTTAAGCTCAATCCGAATACGAGCATATACGTTCGAATCGTAAAATACATAAAATTAAAATTGTATTTAATTTTTTTATTCTATTAATTGGAATCTAAGCATATCATAATTCAATTACTTTAATAGCATATTTTACTTCCTGATATAATTAAAATATATCAGGAGAATATGTTCATATGTTTGGGTTTATTGCATATTCCTTTATTTATGCGTATTTACACAAATGTGATAATCACACATACATTCATGAGTACACGTACGCTGATGCTTGCTTCTTCTTGCCCCGCACAAGCAATGACTTTTGTCCACACTTTTTGCTTTTTGCGAGTTGAACGATCGCAGGCAAGGAGGGATTGGGGCGCACTGCCACATAATTATTTCAGATATATTTTTATTAATCGAATTTATTTTAAAAACGATTATAAGTATGAATATATGTGTATTTATATATATATATAATATATATTATATTACGAAAATAATTCATAAATGCATCAGTATTTTTCAATACAAATTAAGCAACATATCAATATATTATGAGCCCTCAGTTGAAACGCCTTTGTGTATGGTGGCAAGCCAACGAAATAACGGCGAGTTCGCGCGGACATTGTGTGGTTGAAAAAAACCAAATGACGATTTTGTCGACAAACATACATATATACATATGAGCTCGCATACATATTGACGCCGAATTTTGCGCATCGTGGCGGAGTTGACAAAATTTGTTTCAATCAACAATTTTACGACAATGTCGATCGGCTATGTTGTCTCGTTTGTCCTTTTTGCAGGGCTTTGCTGTTGAAAATTGACTTATGCTCTTTTGAAATATTGTGATTACCGATTGGGCTGCATTTTCATAGCGTCGTATTTGGATAAAATGGGCTAAATCGACAAACTATGAAATAATGATAATAAGTAAACATATAAAAGTACTATATGGACTGTGCTTAGAATATATAGAAGTAGTTAATGATTTCATATGAATGGCAATTTAATATAAATTTTGTAATTTAATGCCATAAATAGTGCATAATATGCAAAAATATAAATATTATTTAAACTCGCTAAGAGGTCATGTTGCCAATTCTCCTTTTTGAAGTGAACATCAGACAAATTCTTCAATTTCTGATTTTTAGCAAATGTTGTGAGGAAGCAGCTTGTGGGCAACATACAAACGCGAGGGGGATGGTAGGATTTTCAGTGATACAAATTGTAAAATTGAAATTTTGCTGATTCTTCAATTTTACTGAAGACAAATTCAATTTCATTCATTTTTATTTTCGCGCATTTGCGGTAGGAATTCTATATGAAAACCAAATGTGGTTTACCAGGCGCACAGAAAAAATAGCGCGGCGCAGAGTTATGAACGAACGCACTTTGCTTTGAAGCAGCGCACGTTCCTTATGAATGAATTTGTTGTCGTTGTAATATGAAATACTTAGAAAATAAGCCGCGAGTTCGCTTGAATATTATTGGCCGATGATGGTGCGTCTACGTTTTTTTGTCACTTGCGCGAATGTTTGATATTTTGCGAAAGACATATTGAGGGACATACATATGTACATATGTGTACATATATGCAAATATATTTGGACATGCGAATGAAGGAAGGCAATTTCAAGAATATTCACATATAGACATATGAACATTGAAGCAAGTAAACAACAATAGCTGTTTGAGTTTACAGATTAGACTCAAGAGCTTGAATATTGTCTGTGGAGCTGCTTGTATAGCAGACTTCTTTATTGCAATGTGAAATATTTTGCCTAAGTTCAAATCCTATCAGATATTTTTTTATACCCTTTGTTTATTTTTATAACCCTTTTTTATGAATTGATATTTGAATTCTATTTTAATATTATTTCCCTGATTATTAATATTTTCCTGTCAGAAGTCAATTTCTTTCGTTTTTATTATTTAAAGTTTTGTTTATGCGCATATCAAAGAACATCTGTGCATATGTATGTGTATACATTTTGCTTATAGAGTGGTGTAGTTCGTTTCGTACCCTGATAGTTGTGGTGAAATTTTATTTTCCAACTGGCGCGTTTTCGATGTTCCTCCATCGTAATTAACATTTTAGTACTGCTAACATTTGCTCCTTCTCTACTCATCAACATTCTCTGCCATAGATGAGCCTGGTCGAATGACTTGAAATTTTTTATTTATTTTTAGAAAGAAAGTTAAAAAAAAATCATTCGTCCTTTCCATACTACTATACTATATTAAAACAAATGTAGTTTTAAATAATATATTTATTTGACTTTTTCTTGAATTATTAATAAAAAGTGTAGCATACGCACTTATAAATGAAATAATTCGTCTCGCATACTTACTATTTCACATTTATATAAGTAAATGTAAATTTTATATTAACTATATTAATCTTTGTTTTAAATTTGTAAATATTTTAGATGATATCGTAATTACCATAAAATATTAAGTTTTTACATTTATATTTCATTAGATGGTGTATAGGACTTAATTCTAAATTTTTCTTTTAAGACACTTTGTTTTTATTTAAGTTATTTGTTTCGGCATCCAATGTTATGTGCTAAAATAATCATTTCAGTTATATTTTCGCAACTATTACGAATATAAATATAATAAATTGTTCAAGCAAAAACGTACCATTAATGCACATATCAATTATCGCTTAAACCTATACCTAGCCGATACATATATACACATATTTTTAATATAATCTACTACACCGTCTCCATCTACCTCTAAGGAAATAGTAACACATACACTAATATTTAAAAACACATACAAACTATTATTTGATTTCATCATTTTGTTTATTTACAATTTTTACATAAGTAGGTATATGTGTATGTAAATAGTATTCTTATAATCATATTAATTAGATTTAAGTCTCAGTTTCGAAGTTTATTTATTAAATAATAATTATCTCTTTTAATAATATTGCGTTTCAACTAACTCTTTATGTTTATTTGTATTGTTTTTTTTTTACTTAGTTTTGGTTTGACAATTCCTCCTTTCAGTAATCACTACCAACTATCGTTTGTTAAATTAAAACGCTTAAGTAATAAATTATTTTTACGTTTAGAAATATATTTTAGATACTTTAAGCTTACTTTCAATAATAAAATAATATAGCAAGTATTTTTATAATAACTTATGTACATACCTGTTCAAAATTTTACAATATATTGCAAACATTTTATTAAACACATTTGATAGAAGGAATTGTTTTTCTTAGTTGTTTGCGTTAAAGTGGTCTCACTTTATAAAAAAAAAATCAAATAACTGAATAGGCAACATTTAGTACAAGTAAAAAAAAATCGAAGTATACAATAAGTTCAAATAAACAAATATCAATTTCATTTCACAACTTTGTAAAAACATCGACACATATTGTATGAAAGAATAATATTACTGTCCAAATATTTTTAATTTATGGTATACAATGTACCATTTAATCGACTTGAACAACTAATTAAAGTAATCCTAAATACATAAATTTCATTGATATGCAAAAAAAAAATAAGACATCACATTGTTGATAAAGCATTGTTCCGCCATATTTTTAAAAGAATTCCATCCACATTTTTTTAATAATGATCTTGATATCAGTAAATATAATCAAATTAAAAGATAGTTTTGGTAATGGCAAAATTGATAAAGAAAAAGGAGGTAATGTTTTGCGAATGAAATAATTACGATTTTGACAAGTATTCATTTGCTAATGATATCGTATAACTTTAATCAATGCACAAAAAATAAATGTGTACAATCCTAGAGAGATATTTATAAAAAAGAAAATGATGATGTTTTATTAATTTCAATTTATATTATTCAATTACAGTTTATTTGCCTTAATTTTCTCTAAGCCTCTTGACTAGAAATTCTACTCGCAATAATACCAAAAATATTCCAATTGATAAATTCAAATGCATCAACTATGAAAAGGCTTTTGATATTTTTGAAACTGACAGCAATTTATCTCAATGACGACCTATTTTTTGTTTCCTTTAAGTATTTTTTGCAATTTGATAAAATGTGTTGTTTTTCTTTTATTTATTACTAAAATTTTAGTAATAACTGTCCATAAATACATACAGTCGAGTTTACTATCTTCAAATAGCATTCTCGTTATAAATAACTAAAAATATTTACATATGACTTTTAATGAGTTCATTGTCACAACGACGTTTACTCCCATGTCAATGAATGTGATATTTGTAATTATCAAATCCATTTTATGTAACTGGTCGTTCTTGATCATTTTCATCTTTTCCCAATCCTGTTACTACAATATGTAATCCACTCTCAATCCCAATTGCATGTGGTTGTATTTGAGTGTCTGCTTGGTAGGAGTGTAGGTCCATGCCTTCATTCAAATGAACTATGTCAAAAATGTTATGTAGCTGGTCCTCACTTTCCGGAATAAGATGCTGACCCCAATCTTCTTCTTTGATATTTCTTAGAAGTTTCGTACTGGATGAACAACCTACTCCGCCTGAGCGAATTACGTTATCTGCCGAAATTTTCGCTCTTGGTGATAACAGTTCTTGAATAACTTCATCCCCGTCATAACTTAGTATATTGTTCAGGCACAAATTAAATTCATTATAATCTGAAAAACTACTACAATTTAATGGATTTACAGGTGAAATTTCTGATAGCAAATCGTTTTTAACTTCTGAACCCAATCTGCTATTATAAAACATTATATGTTCACGTCCCATGGATTCTAAATCTGCTATTTCTCCAATAACTTCTGTACTCGAGGTTGATTTCCGTGAGTTTTTACAGTTCATTTCCTTATTCACACTAAAAGCGCTTAAGTATTCGTTGGTATCTGCACCTTCAGTAACAAACGGATTTTTTCGGTCACTTTCATGTTTGAAGTCAACATTTTTTTTACCGTCATCAGCTAAAGCATACATTGAGAATTCATCCTGCGTCTCGGTCAATAAAAACAAATTTTTGCTTTCTAGTTCTTCAACTCCAAATTCGCTTAGTTCCATATCGCCATCGTCACATACATTTAAATTAGTAGCCGAGGCGCAAGACAATGGTCACTTATAATCGCGAGAGTTTCGTCTTCTTCTTCCTTCAGTTAACTGTGCCTCTCCAATAACTGAAAAATTTTAAGTTTTACTTTAGAATTGTAATCAGTTGTTAATTTTTAAAATTTGTAAGTTATTAGGAACATAATGGAGAAAACATATATAAGTATTTTAAAAGCGATATTGTTTTCACACAACGTAAGCTAAACTTAATTTTAGTTGTAATACCATGAATCAAAGGTACATCAAGGCAATCTACAACTGGTGAATTAAACAGATAAAAACTTTACCAGAGGAGGCCCACTCGCGGGCAGAACATAAATTGATATCTTTTGACCATTCATTCTTCGCCATGGATGCCTCTATTTCTCGTCAGCGAATATTATATTAAAATCATCCTCAAATGAAATATATGTGATATAAACTCAACCGAAGAGGCTAAATTTTATATATCAAGTTGATGTGGAAAATGTCAACCAAAGAATCGAAATTCATTATATGGATTTAAGGTTTGGACAAAGATCCAGACCAATTTTATTCAAATATCACAAATTTTGACCAAGTAAAGTCAGATGGAATGACGGATATAATTACAAAGGCTATATTGGGGACAGAAAAAGAGATGGGTTGATCGCATTAAATTTTGACATTGCTCAGGTATATTTGGGAACATATTTTCAAGCAATTTCATAAATATATAACTCACACACTGACCGACATACCGATGGTTTTCTGACGCAACCTCGTAACTCGATTTTTGACGATTTTGAGATTTAATCGGAAAATTAATCAATAAATATAGTTGCATAGATCTGTAAAATTATAAATAAAAATATTAATCCAATTTTTTTTTATTTAATAAAATACAATCCCGTTTCTCAATTCAAAAAAATGTGTCATGCGCAACCTCGTATCTTTAAGTACAAGATGGCGTATATATAAACAAGTTTGCTGTCAGCAAGTAACAAAAATTAAACAATCATCAACTCCAATCTATTACAACCTAATACAATTTTTACATGAAATTTAATCTTTTTTAGAGTTAAATAATATGTCATCCTCAGATCCAAATTCATCAAATGAAAAATTAACATCAGATAAAAATAAAATAATAATAATAATGACAATCACTCAGTAATGGTGCTCGATGAAACTACTAGACTTTTAATTCCTCTCGAATGTACACCAGTGAACGAAGATGAAGAGGAGAAAATTGAATCTAGTTTATTTATCTATATGCATTTAGATGAAACTACGGGACTATTCGTGGTAGATTCAGATCAATCAGTTTCATCACGTGGATTATTAAATTCATCAAATTCCTTAGTTCTCAATCAAACTGACAGTGCAACAAGTGACGTTAGTCCATCTCGTCCTGCAGCAATCTTAATGAACATTCAGGAATTATGTCTAAAAAAAAAGATCTCGTAAACATCAAGGTCATAATAAAGATTGGGAACGCAACAAAGTAAAAGAAGCTCGCGTTGAAGGTAAAGCTTATTTCAGTATGGCTAGAAAGAAAGATGAAAATAATTCATTGACTCAGCGGAAGAAACGAAAAATTAAACCAGGATGAACGTCTAAAAAATGTGCTGCCAGTCAATTCAAAAAGTCTAATGAAATCCCAGAACAAACAAGAAAAAAAATTTTAATTCTTTCTGGAAGGATTTAAATTGGGACCAGAAACCATCTTATGTTATCTCGCTTGTTACCAAGGAAATAATACCTCGAAAAGAAAACTCAAAAGTATCTAGACGAAATTTCACTCTTCAGTATCATCTAATGGTTAATAATAAAAGGTTGTTAGTTTGTAAACAAATGTTTCTGAGTACATTAAGCTTAGGAGAGTCTCAAGTTTTAAACTGGGTAAGAAAAAGTAGTGATTTTGGTGTGTTAAAAAAAAACTAAAATAAAGAATACTAGAAAAGAATCTAAGCAAGTTAAGGGAAAGCTATCACATGTAGAGCATTTTTTAACTCAATTATCAAAGATGGAGTCGCATTACTGTCGCAAAAATACATTTAAGTTATATTTAGACAATTTATACAAGTCTGTTACTGAAGTACCTAGCTTTCGATTTTTTATGAAGAAAATGCAATTAATGAATTTAGATATTAGAGATGAAAAAGACCAAGATAAAATAAAAGCTATTGCTGGACAGATCAAGGCATTCACTGTAGATGTTCAAGCCGTGCAAATGATACCACATTTACCAGCAGGTACTCTTTATTTTAAACAGAAGTTGAAAGGTCATCAATTCACAGTATATAACATAGCAAATGGAGATGTATTATGTTATGTATGGCACGAAGGTGAAGGTGGCATGGATGGCAACATTTTTGCGTCCTGCCTAATTGATTTTTTACAAACTGAAGTTGAGCTTGATACACCGATAGTATTTTACAGCGAAGATTGTAGTGCTCAGAACCGCAATGTGACTATAACTAACGCTTTGTATCAATATTCAGTAAGAAACAATGTTGAAATATGTCAAAAATATTTGGTTAATGGTCATACTCAAATAAAATGTGATTCCGTTCATGCGGCAATAGAAAGACGTAAAAAAGATTGTGAGTTGTATGCAAGTTTTGTGCAAGTTATTCCAGAATCTAGGTTGTAAAAACCGTACAAAGTGAAGTATTTGGATTATAAATTTTTAAGAATTACTCTGATTTAAAATTTTTTAAATCTATTCGACCTGGAAATAAAACCGACTCTCCAACTGTATTACAGTTGAAAGCATTGAAATACAGTAGTGCGAAGCTGATGTTTAAATTATCCTTTGATGATGAATGGAAAGATCTGCCGCAACGTTTGGACAAGAAGCATTCTGTCGACACTTACGTAAAAGATTTATATTCCAAAGAAATTCCATTGACGACTCAAAAATATAGAGACTTACTATCGCTCAAACCATTATTACCCAAGGACTATCATTCTTTTTATGAAAATTTAACATACGTTAAAGAAAAATAAGAATTATATTTTCTCATATTCTTAAATATTATCTGCTAAAAATGATAAAATATAATATTTTATAAGTATTTAATTTCATAATTCTATTTGAAAAGTCGAGTAAGATGATTGAAAATATTAATGATATTATGAAATAATAATATTAATACTATAATTAAGATTAAAAGTGTATTTTATGTCAAAAAAATATTATATTTTAGTTATTATAAGCTAAAATTATTAAAAAGTTTAACAATAACGTTTGTATTTGATTAAAAATCATTTAAAAAGTTGCTGAAAAGAATATTACGCAATCACGTATGTTACATTTTTTTTCCTGAGACAAACACGTATCTCAGTAAATAATAAAAACGTTATGATTAATTATTTTTAAAATCATACTTATCCGAAAATTTTATTACAAAATTGAATACTTAAAAAAAAAAAAAAAATTTTTTAAAAAAATTTTTAATTTCATTATTAAACGTTTTTAGTCTTTCCTGAAAAGTAGTAGTTTCTGAGATACGAGGTTGCGTTAGAAAACCATCGATATTCGGCATAACGTGTGTTAGAATTAAATTAAATAAAAACATTATATCTAGTATATGGGAGTTGGGATAATTCGTGGACTAAATTCATACGTTTTCGGCACTAAACTATTGTATATCCAATATTATACCTACAATAAGTATTACTAAGGTATAAAGCCACCCGGAAGTTTAAAAATCTAATATTTTTTAGGTATATGGGTATTCTTACATACTTATTCTATTGTTAACAGAAATATATGCCATCTGAATTTCATTATTGTAGCTCACATACAATGACCAATAAATGTGACGAACACGGGTGATAGAAGAAAATATTTGAAATAAAGATGAAGTGTATAGCCATTAAATTGGGACTTTTATTTAACAATCCAGTGATCGAACTCAAGAGTGAGTTACAAGGTAGACGATTTATCGAGATCCGTTACAATGCATATGTATGTATATGGAGTAAAGTCAGCAGTTATTTGAAAATCCTGATATTAGTTATATGGGCGCGAGGGCAAGTTTCAACCCGATTTAATCATTTTAGGCACAAAGATGCATCGTTATTAGAAAAATACGCTCACTCAATTGCATTAAGATAACTCACATATTAAACGATATATGCGAATTAGGTCAACCAGAAGTTCTCAAATCTTTAGTTTCTGTATATGGTGTTAAGGGAAGTATTGGCCCGATCCAATCTTTAAAAATAGTGGCTTTTAATTTGCAGAAAAACTACTATCGGAACCTCCTGACTTTTCTTTGAATTTTCGGTGCAATACACATACGAATTCGTTTATATCCTGATTATGAAGGACAGGTGTATATTTCGCAAATTTAGATAAAATCTTAGCTTTCTAAGCAATAATTTTTAGAATAAAACTACGTACATATAGTACCGGCAGCGAGAATATGGAACAAATCTTTCAAAAGGAAGTACACTAATACATATCTACATTGGTATGTTTTAGCCGACTTCATTATACCACAAATTCATAATAACTACAATAATATTGCTTAAATCCAAAGAAGATTTTGTAAATATAATATATTTCAATATTATACATTTTAAGGTTAAACCAAACAATTGTTGTATATAATTATTAAAAATAACCAGTTGTATTTATTTTTATATGCGGACAATTTATTTAATTAAAATTAAAAATTTCTTGTAAAACAAATCGAAATTGATGCCCTTAGAGTTTTTTGCAAACTAGGATCGTTAATAACAAAAAGTATTTTTTATTAATACAACTACTGTGCTAGATGTACAAATTTATGAAACAAATTAACTTTTTATGTAATAAACAAAAGAAAGTACCTTGAGAATCACTACCTAACTATGTAACTTAATTATTAAAATTGCTTAGGTATCTTATGTTATCTTATTTTTTACTCATATAGGATAGCATTGACTGTATTTTTGCTACACGAATTTATTGTTAAAACAAAATTGGCGAAATATTTTTTATTATAATTAACAATTTGCTCGGGAAAATCTAACATTCCATCACTGTTTTGACACAATGTGATTGGAGAAAAGTCACACTCTGCTGCAATTGTTTTTTATATTTGACAACACT